ACAAGAGAACACGGGATGACTCGTGGGTATTTCAATACTGGACTGTATTCCTCTATGCTTATGGCTTGCTGCGTTCAGCTGTTCTTACTTAATGGACCCAAGTGGAACAAATTTATGGAACAAATCCTTGACCTATCAGTAAAATTGCATATGACTCAACCCAGCTTTTGCCTCTTACTGACATCATTTCTTTATTAACCAATCACATGTAGATAATCTGCACATCAGAGGCACCTGTTGTCCTAGCCGAGCTTAGAAGCCGCTTTCCATTCCCTAACCCTTGGGGGATCTCGACCTACTGAGCATGCTGCCTCCAATCCCCATGAATCCTCCTCCCCCACTCCCCTGCTCACGTATTTTCCAGTCTTCAAAATCTAATTCCACCTCAGGCAAGCTCTTTATCGCTCTTATTTAGCTGATATGAATCTCGGTCCACAAAGCCAGGGGTAGAGAAAAATGATTTTCTACAAATCAACTTAGTGTCTCATGTCATGCTCGGAGCTGACGGGAAATCGATACCAGTCATCCTTGAAGCTTTCTTCCCCCTTCCTGGCAAGGTTATGGGACTCATGCAGTGCCTACTTTTGGGGGGCCCCCAGTCGTCTGTCTGTAGTGGCCTCTATGGAGATGGCTGTCGTCTCTCGCACATGGTCCTTTCACAGCTGGGCGCTCTCTGCTCATTTTTGTGCCTCACTTATAGAATGATGGTTTGGTTTTGGCTGCTGGGATCTCCCCCAACCCCAGCCCAGCAGCCACCTTCCTGGGTCACCACTCTACTCCTCCGGGGCCTTGTCATCTCCGTGGGGCACTGCCACCAAGAGGCGAGTGGGACCCCTGCTCTTCCTCCACTGCCAGGGAGCATCTCTTCTTCGTCCCTGGTCATCTGAATCCCTCCTGCTTCTCTGAGACACTTTATTTTACCCCCCCTATCCTAACCTCCCTCTTATCAGTTAAGAATATTTTAGTTGTAAGCAACAGAAAACGCAGCTCCAACTGACTAAAAAGAAAATACATTGGCTTAAGTGACTGATAATCTAGACATAAGGCTGGTTTCAAGTTGGGATTTGTTTGGTTAGTCAAAAAAAGGGGGGGATTGAAATATATCCCTATGTTCCAGGCACTAGAGATACTGGGGTGAGCAAGGGTCCCCTGCTCCAAGGCAAGCAGCTGTGTGTGGAGAGACAGCTGTCCCTCTCAAACTCTGCTCCAAGTGCATACTTGGGAGCAAATTAATGATTATTGCTGTCTTAAGCAACTGAGTTTGGGAGTGATTTGTTACACAGCCACGGTAGCTGAAATAGCACTTGCAAGCCCAAAAGGATAAATGTAAGGGTGAAGCTGACGAGACACGTTGATCAAGGCTAAGGAAAGGTATACATTTTGAAGTTAGAAAATCATAATAACAACAACAGCGATAATGTCTGAACCTGTCAACTGCCTGCTTCCTTTCAGGTCCGTGTGAGCTCTTACCTGCTCTGCCCTGAATCCAGTGAACTGCCTTCCTCAGGCTCCTGGGCCTCTGGCTTCCAGACAGGCTTGGCCACCCCTCCTGGCCACCACTATTTCTTGTACCTTCATTTCTGACAGTGACAATGATTCCCCATTGTCCTACTATTGGCTGTACAGCCCCCCTCAGGGATGCCACTTTCGGCCTGGTAACCCCCGCTGTGGTCCTGGCTGCCCCCAACAGCCTGTCTTCTGGGCTCTGACAAGATTTTTTTCTTCATTTGCTCCTGCAGGCCCAGGGGTCGTACCACTTGCTGCTACTGACCTCTGGGTTATCTCTTCCAGACTGCTTGGCTTCTTAGCTTTTCCAACACAAGTTCCCTTTGTTATTTCCCTTTGTTGGAAAGACTTAAAGTGGTTCCTGTTTCCTTGCCTGACCCTGATTGATACATTAGCTAACGGTTATTGGTATGTTCTAGGAATGAGCCTATTTGGAAGCTACCGTGAGCTTGATATTCCAGATGAGGCAACTAAGGCTCAGAGATGAAGCTACCCGAGATCACACATTTATACTCAGTGCTGCTAATGTCCACAAGCAGTGGACTGCAATCAGAAATTATTTTTTAAATAAAAGTTTAAATGTTATAAAAGTCACTGTTTGAGGACTGAAAGGGGTTTTCAGGGTGCCGGAAATATCCTGTTGTTTGACCTGGGGCTGGTTATCTGAGTGCTCACTCCGAGCACTCACCGAGCTGTATACCTATTGGGGCACTTTTCCATGTGTTATACTAGACATTATTTCTTCTTTAATTTAGAGATCAGATTTCCAATTTCAATTCGAGTCTACATCATAAGTAGTTTTGTGGAACAATTATGTCCCAGACATGCGCTAGGCTTGGGGACTATAGCTAAACACAAAGACAGGCCTAGCCTCGGGGGAGCCCAGTGGGGAAGGCCACAGTGAAAAGCTATCACCACCTGGATGCCCGGCCTACCCAACGAGAGGTTCACTAGAATGTGGAAGCTGATAAAGGACCCAACCCAAGCGGAATTGAAACTAAGGCCTGAAGGTTAAAGGAGGGAGGGCAAAGGCCACGCTGGGAGAAAGCAGAAAAGAAAGGCACTGAGGAGCGGACAGAGCAGGGAATGGTAGATTTGAAAGGCTACGGCCGATGAAGCAGGCTAGCAAAGGCATTTCAGAAATGAATTATCCCTGGTTGTCACTGGCTCTCAGGTCTGCAAGGAAGCACTGGGAACAAAAATCTACATTCAGGGGCTCCCCTTGGAACAGCGGGGTGGCAGTGAGACAAGACCCTATGGGTTCCCCAGTACTGCCACTGCCTCATTGGCAGAGGTTCCGGCGAATCCAGACAGCGATCGGGAGGGGCGGGGGCGGTTGGGGAGGAGAGGCTCCATGTCTTGGGCCACTGTTCCCCTCTTGCCTCTCCTCCCAAGCACGTACTTCTGGATGTCCAGCCAGCTCCTTCCCTCTCCCATGACACACAGGTGGCCGCCGCCTTGCCCTCCCAGCCCGGATCTCGCCTCCGTTCCTTCCTAAAACAGAATGCAGCCTCGCAGCATCCCTGGGACTGATCCCTCCCTGGAGCAAACACAGGACATCACTGAGATTTGGAGACAAAGAAGAGAGCGTGAAAACAATGCCCAACTCAATCAAGCAGTAAAAAACTCGCTGAATCCAATGCAAGCGGTGAGTGGTGTGGACTGAGGACTCAAGCAGGAGCAGAGAATTAGATAACACTGTAACTTAAGCCCAGAAGGTGGGTTCAGCGAGACTAACCATTTCCATTGGACTTGAAGTACCCAATTGGAACAAGTGACTAAGTTTTAAAAAGGCGAATGTGTTTATTTTTGGTGCTGGAAAAATAACTCTGGAATTCAGATCTTGCCTTAGGCCAAAAATCTCTGGCAAGAAATCAATGTAACTTGCTCCGGGTGGGAACATCAACGAATGTTGAGATGCTATAACTGTTCTCTTAGTCGCAGTGTGTGCATGTATTTTAGCCTTGGGAAGATTTACAATTAAATATAGAAAAATCTAGAGAACAAATGCACAGTATTCACACTTTTGTGTTAAAGAACAGCCTCTGTGTAGTTGGTGTTCACAGTACTTATAATGTTATAAATAATCGGGTGTATGAGAATACCTGAGAGATTAGCCTTCTGATTTCAACTTGAAATGTGTAATGGAGGAATTGACTTTAGATTTATAATTTGTTGCTGAAAGCTGTAAGAGGATTTTATGGGTTGCAAGCAGTAGAATATTGGACTGTTTAAGAGATTCATTATATTTATAAATTTAATTTAGTCTGTAAGCACTTGAGAATGTTTTGCCTGTCAGGGTAGGTGATTAATGTGCTTTAAGAAAGAAAATTGAATATGTTAAATTTATTAATGCAGTTTAAAACATTGAAGGGACATTTAATTAAACTAAGCTTATAAACATAACTGGTTGAAGGGAGTTTAGTTTGTTCAACTCGAGAATATTAATCAAAGCCCCCTTATTAAAGTGTACTAGACTTATTAATAGAATAATATGATTTGCACATTAACTTAAAGGCTTAAGGGAAGCTAAACTTTAAATCTGATCATTTAAAAGAACTGAATATATGTATAAAAGCAATCTTTTCTGTGCATATCACCAACCTTGCACCTCTGTTCTTCCATGGACACCAAGATAAAAGAACAGTGTTTTTATTTTTTCCCTAAGAGCTTTTACTATTAACAGGATTGGTGAAAAGGAAAACAGAAGGTTACAGTTCCTGGCTGCAGTGAGACCTCAGGAGTTCAGGAGAAGAAAACTGGGAGACTGGGGAGGGAAGGCGAGCCTCTGAGACCCTGAGGCCAGTTTAGCTGGATAAAGCTTTTCCTACGGGGCCATCGCTGTGTAGGAAACACACACTTGTGGCCATCTATGCTGAGGGCTCCCTTAAATAATGCAACCAGTATTGTTTTGGACAATATTCAGTTCAAATATAACTTATTTCAGTTACAATATGAATCAAATAGGCTGGTGAGGGGGGGATCTAGCCTAGAAAGTCACCATTGACAAAATTGTTTCTGATCGAAACAGAATTCCTAACATTTTAGAACTTTTAAAACATGAAACAATTGGAACTTTGAAGTCAAATGTGGACTTTCACTAATGAGAGGAAAAGTCCAGAATACCCAGGGGGCATATTGTAAAGTAGCTACAGGTGACTTTCCCCGAGGGAGGATGACGTCTCCTTTAGAGTCTAGAGCCCACGTGTTACACCGCTGCTCTTATTAGAGCTTTTAAAGGATTAGAAGTAATTTTAAAGGTTATTAATGAGTGTGACGAGGCAATGTTGTGAAGCACTAACTGCAGCGCTCTCTCCCCTCACCCCCTTCTAAAATGGTCCTTTGACTTTCTTCATATTTCCCAGGCAGTTCGACCCTCAACCAGACCAGACCACTCAGGGGCCCCGAGGGAAGGAGGCCCAGCAGGTGGACGGGACACAGCCTCCAATCCGTGGGCCCCAGGGAAACACGGAACAAACAAGCAGACAGAAACCAAACAAGCCAAAAACCCACACAGGGTTTCAGGAGGTAGGTGAAGAGATTCGATAACTTCTGCTGAGTCCCTGGTCGCCTGCCCCCTCCACCAATTACGCAAAGACCCCACGGGAAGGGGCCATAGGCAGAGAGGCGAAAGTCGTGGGAAGCCAGAGCACTGCCCTGGCCGAGTGGCTCGGTGACTGCAGCATCGCCCGGCACCCCGAAAGGTTGTGAGTTCAATCCCTCATCAGGGCACGGAAAAGAGGCGACCGACAGATGTTTCTCTCTCCCATCAATGTTTCTCTCTTTCTCTCTCCCTTCCTCTCTCTAAAATCAATGGAAAATATCCTCGGGTGAGATTAAAAATAAAGGAAAGAAAGAAAAGAAGCAGCCAGAATGTTAACCTCTGCTAGGGTCTCTGAGATTAGCTAAGGCCATTGGGGGGGGCGTATAATCAAACCCCTAGACATACTTGGGGAATTCAAGAAGAGGGAGCTAGCATCTGGCTTCCTGCCCGCACCCCTGGGAGGCAGCAGCCCCTTCGAACTGCGCTGTCTAATACGGTGGCCACGGGCCCAGGCAGCTGTTAAGACCTGGGAAAGTGCCCAACCCAAACTGAGATGTGTGTAAGTGCAAGACCAGGTTTTAACCTCCTAGTCTAAAAAAAGAATGTGAAATATCGCACTGATAACTTTTATATTAATTGCATGTCAAAATGATAATATTTTGGACATACTGGGTCAAGTAAAATACATTATGAGAATTAATTTCCCCTTCATTCAGGTGATCAAGGTCAACACCCACAGTCTTAAAATCATGTTGATAGTATGTAACCTTGATGTGATGTGAGACAAATGGCACTTTACCTCTGTGATCTTCCTCACAAACAACTATAACCCCAATTTAATCATGAGAAAATGTCAGACAAATTCCGGTAGAGGTACATCCTACGAGGTACCAGATGAGCAATCCGCAAAACTCTCAAGGTCATCAAAAACAAGAAACAGCCCCAGCCAGCCTTGCTCAGTGGTTAGAGCGTCACACTGTGGACTGAGGGGTCCCGGGTTCGATTCCGGCTCGGTTGTGGGCTTGATCCCCAGCCCTGGTCGGGGGGCATTCAGGAGGCAACCAATTGATGTGTCCCTCTCACATTGATGTTCCTCTCTCTCCCTTCCACTCTCTCTGAAAACCAATGGAAAAAGTATCCTCGGGATTAAAAAGAAAAAAGGGAAAGAAACGGCTGAGAAACTGTCTCAGCCAACAGGGACCCAAGAAGACGTTGCAGCTAAATGTCATGTGGTTTCCCTGGATTGGATTCTGGAACAGAAAAAGGACATTTGGTAAAAACTATGGAAATCGGAATAATTTTCAGATTTTAGTTGATAATAATGTGTCAGCGTCAGTTCATTGTTTGTAACAAATGTAGAAGACATTAATAATAGGGGACACTGGGTGTGTCTGTGGGGCATGTCGGAAGTCTCTGTACTATCTGCTCATTTTTTCTGTATACCTAAAGCTGTTCTAAAAATTATGTCTATAATTTTTTTAAAAAAATCAGGAGACTGGTAACATAAGCAGGATTGGGTTCAGATTGGGCCAGGACTCATGAAAAGCCCTCTGAGGCAGCCAGTAAAGTCCTATTTCTTACTCTGGGTGGTAGTAACACAGGTGCTCACCTTGTAATAACTCACGAAGCTATACTTTTGTTCTGTGCGGTTTTCGGTATCTATGGTCTTATTTTTCTAACAATATAAAAGTTGAAAACAAATAACCAAAAATTAACTTCACTTGTTCCTTTTTACCTTTAAAAAAATTTTTTTTAATGATTAGAGAGAGAGGGAGGGAGAAACATTGATGTGAAAGAAGCATCGGTCAGCTGCCTCCACACATGCCCCAACCCGGGATCGAACCCGTAACGTGGGTATGTGCCCTGAGCTGGGAACCAAACCCACCACCTCTTGGTGTACAGGACAGTGCTCCAACCAACTGAGCCAACCAGCCAGGGTGCGACTGCGATGTTTTGGTGCTCGCTTGCCAATAAGTGCTTGTACTTGTTGCTTTCATTGTATGATACCCTCTGGCAGTGAGGTTGTACAGAGAGACCTATCAGTCCCTCTACTCATGGGACACCCTGATCCTTACCAAAGGAGCCTGGCAATGATAGGACAGACAAGTGAACTTGGGTCGGTTTGCAAGAAAGAAGAAGCACAATTTCCAAAGTCTCCACGAAAGGCTTAGAAAGAAGCTGAGAGAGTGAGAGGACAGGAAAGCTCTCAGTTCCGGGGAGGGGAGGCTGCAGAAAGCAACCCAGAGGATGCCACCTGGGACCTGGCTGCCTCAACAGGAGCCAGCCTGGAAAGATGCCCAGGCCCAAAGTTCAGCTGGGATTTACCTTTTAAACCAGTGTCAGTGCAGGGCCAAGGACAGCTGCAAACCAGACAGTCCCCTGCCTTGCTTCCAAGCTGCCTGGAATTTAGATCAGCCCTGGGGAAAGGGGAATCAAAAAAAGAAGAGTTTGGGAAAATTGAAAATCACCTGAGTTTAAACCTAAAGTGACTGAGAAAAACTGAAAACTTCCAGACTAAGATTTCTGCCCTCAGGCAGATGGGAGCTCAGCTAGAAACAAAGTTTGGCTATTGAGAAATATGCTTGATATCTGTTTGTTTGTTTGTTTTTTAAACATCTGAGTTCTGTGGCTTAAGAAACTTACACCTAGTACATAGGCTAATAAGCTACAGCTTTCTAGTTTATCTAAAAGATACGAAACACTTGTTCCTGTTGGTCATGATCACCAAACTCCCAAGGGCTGAGTGTTAAAATCAGGCTGAACACTGAACATTACCACCACAGAATGAATTTTTGGCGGACAAAATGTGATAGATTATTGGGGGAAATGGCCTGAATTATCCTTGTATTCATGCTTGTTTAATAGTGAGGATACAAAAGTTTTTTAAAGGCAGTTCCATACAAATAAAAAGCTCTGTGCACTACTTAAAGAAGAGGCCATGTTCTTAAGCAGAGAAAATTATTGACATCTCTTTCATTTTTCAGTCCTAATATTTCTACATCTACTTGCTGCCTCACACCATCACTCGAGAAAAAGAATTTGTTCTTAAATCTTGTCTAGAAATGTGGCTGTAGACCAACTGAACTGGCTTCCGAGGTAATGCAGTCCCCGGGATTTTCATCTGTGCGCACCAAGTCTAGCATCTGCCCTGGCCAAGGATGACAAGAGCATCTCGCAGATAAGAAGTCCTTGCTCTCTAGGAGCGCTGCTCTTGGTAGCTGCGCGGCGGGTGCTGGCACATGGGCCTCGCTCTGCAGGCAGCCTGGGCGGCCGGGAAGCCCTGCTCTGTTGGTGTTTCAGCCTGCAAAGCGCTGCGTTAAAAGCCTCCTTGCGTTCAGGCTGCCTCTTAAGAGGGTAGTCGCTGCTTTTCCATCTGATTTGAGCATCTTGTACAAGCACACGACAAGGCAATTCCAAAGTCCCTCGTCTGCCTGTGGTTTGCTTCTGCTCGAAGAAAAATGATAAAAGTGGCCTGTTACCTTTCTGTTTATAGTCAGAAATTCTGCTTCGTGAGGCTGCCCGCTAATTATTTTCAGAAAACACAACTGAAGACTCATGGTCCGAATGGAATAAATGACTAAAAACCAAATACAGCTTGAGGAGTCATTTTATTAACTGTTATGAATCCTACCACACCAAACAGTGCTACAAAGATTAGAATTATGATATAATCTCATCTCTACTATTCTGCCTTGTGTTATTTAAATTTTTATAAAGCTTTGTGGATTCAAAAATGATACATTCTTCCTAAAGTTTTCTAGTTAATGCTCTCTATCTACATATTAGAAAGTTCTTAATACAGTTTTCATAACATGAACAGCTTTCCCAATCCTCATTAATTATTTTATTTGTTTTAATTTTATTAAATTTATTGGGATGACATTGGTTGATAAGATTATATAAGTATCAAGTGTATGATATTATCTGTATATTGCATCATGTGCTCATCACCCAAAGTTTAATCTCCTTCTGTCACCATAACCCTCTTGACCCTCTCTCATTAATTATTCTAACATTTTACTCTTACAACTAAAAATACACAGACTTCAACTGAGTCATCAGAATTGAAAATCAAAGCACACAAATATGTTTGTTTTTCTGTTACATCTAAAATGCTTACCTAATTTGAAAGCATACATTTAGACATTAATAATGACTCTGAATGATAAGTCTTATTTAATTATTGACATTGTTGTGCTGATTAGATGTAATGGTAACTGTGCAGTTACTTGCATATTTATTATGCAAGTTCAGGGAGGCCAGAAATGACATTACAGTTGGCATTCTATTACTCATTATACCAGAAGGCTTTTGACCTTCCAAAGATCAGAGCCAATGCCCAAAACAGATTTTGGCCAAATGCTGTGGCTAAATAAAGCCAAGCTTTGATTCAGCCCTCCTTCCTAGGAAACAGTGATTGAAATGAAGTACAGGCATTTAGGCAAGAAGCAAAGAGCAGCTTACTATTGGAAACGGCAGCTACAATAGGCAGAAACAACTTATTGCTCAAATTATCAGGGAATGTAGAGTTAGGCCAGGAATAGCATTTGGCTATAGGACATTGCTGTCAATTAAAAGTAAGTGTAAATTAGACCCATCCTTTATGAAAAGCTTGATAAATATCACACCAATGCTAAGTATTTCCCATGTGCAGCCCAGATGTCTGCTAGCTTGAAGGGCCCAGCCTGCCCCTACCCCTCTCGGTAACCTTGGTTATTTCCAGAAGGCACCCAAAGGCATGGCTCACACTGTCCTTCTGTCAGTTGGTGGACACCGTCTATGCAGCTGCTTGGAGAAGGCCCCAGCATGGAAGTGGGGAGAACAGTCCAGGCAGAAGCAACAGCATGTGCAAAGGCACTGAGCTTAGAACAGAGCCTGAGAGAAAGAGGGAGAGATCGGCTAAAGTCAGTTAGAAAGCATCTTGTATGTCAAAGTCAGGACTGTGGACATTTCCTGGAGTTTAAGGGAATTAAATGAGGCTGTTAAGCAGAGGATTGAGCTGATTTCTATGTTAAGAGAAGAGACTTCTCGGGCAGCAGGGAGGAGATCGACTGAACCAGGCAGGAAGACCACTCTAGGCAAAAATGTAGAGAAAAGGGAGCCAATTTTTTAAAGTAATGGGAATACGGGACTCCTGTTTCTCACCAGATGCAGCCCATCAGAGCCGGAGCGGAGATCGTGGGAATTAGGAAGCAGTGATTAGACCTGGAGCCTGCTGTGCCATGTTAATGGGCGAGGGCTTTGTAAGGCAACCCAGGATATCCATGGTAATAGGATGAAAGGAAGCTGAGATCTGGGGTGAGAGGCGGTGGTGGGAGGTAAGGCGAATGGCGTACACACACCGGATGGGAGTCACTGGACTGAGTCGCCGCTGTTGCCTTCCTGGTGGGTCTGATCAAGCTTTGATACTCTAGGAGGGAGATTTTTAACCGGTGTGCTGCCAGAAATTTTACAACATGCCATACCTGGCTACTTAGGGGCACAGACCTATTTTCCTCCTGATTGTCAAAAAAACACTCACACAAAAAGACAACGGCCAACACAATAGCCGTCCAATGTGAAGAAATAAAAATTATACTTTTGACAAATAGAAGAAGGTCATCTGGAAGAAAATCGAACCTCAGCCAACAGTCAGCACCAAGCCCCCGGCCCTGTGACAGCGTCTTTTCGGATTTGCTGCGGGGCCCAGTGACTAGCTGAGCGCAGCTGCGAGGCTGCGTGGAGAGACCAAGCCAGGAACTGGCCAGTCGACCCCCAGAACTGTAGGAAATCACAAAACTGTCGCTGTCTTAAGACCTGAGGTTCTGGGGTAGTTTGTGACACAGCAATAGATAATCTCTCTGTAACTAATCCAGTTTCCATGCCCCTTAGAGTGTGCTTCAGGGTTGTTTACTCTGTTTTGTTGTAAGTTTGCCACAACTACTCTCTGATGGGGCAAGTACCTTAACTGCCCTAAAATACTCTCTGTTGCTACATCGCACTAATTTCGACAAGTAGTGTTACTGTTCAGTTCCAAATAGTTTCCAATGTTTGCTACGATTTCTTTGTCCCACAAGCTATTTAGAAGTACATTTTTCAGTTTCCAAATGTGTGTGGGGTTTTCTTGGTTTATTTCAAAAATTTGATTTTTTTAAATGAATTGCATTGTAGTCAGAGATCGCGCATGCAAGTTATCTGGAATTGGTTGAGACTCTTTCGTGATTAGCACACAAGTCATTTTTCATAAATTATTCCACGGGCTTGTAAAGAGCACATATTTTCCTGTTCTTGGGTTCCACGTACTATAGAGATTATATCAAGCTTGCTCATATTTATTCAAATCATCTTTATCGTCACCAACTTCTTTGTCGGCTTGACCATATACTTCTTTATATGTTTATGTTTAGTTTCTTGTCTGGCTCCAGGAAGTTGGGCCTATTCTGTCTGCATTGCACCTTTCAAGCCTCTGTTTGCATCCCACTGGGTGACTCTGAAACTTGGTGATCGAGTCTACCTGGCTAGGTTATGTGAAATAACAAAGATTCTTCTTCACCTTCCATGTTTGTCACTGGTCGGCTCGTTCTGGGACCTAGGCGGCAGGGGAAGCCCGTTCCTGGGGCCGGCTGTTTTGTGTCAGAGGGACAAGAGCTGTGCGTTGCTGCTGGAGAGCTCTCAGAGCTTCTGCTTGGGTCAGGCCCACCCTACTTCCACGCACACTGCGTGGGGCAAAGCAAAGCACTTGACCAAGCCTGAGTCACTGGGGTGGGGAAGTAGGATCACATAGAGGGAGGGAGCGCAGGATGCTAGAGGGCAGTAAATCCACAACACCTCCTTCTGTTCTCTTTGAATAGTCTCCACATAGAATTTCGAAACAAGATCTTGTGGTAGCTAATTCAGAGCTGCGCCTGCCTGGGCCCAGTTCTGTGGTTCATCCAGTTCAAAATAGCTGAGCTGGGTGATGTTTATGCTTTGGTTATCTCTGTTTTTGTACTTTTTGCTTGTAATTTTTAAAAAATGTTTTAATTGATTTCAGAGAGGGTGGGGAAGGAGAGGGAGAGAGAAATGTCAATGATGAGAATCACTGATGAGCTGCCTCCTGCACCCCCCCTACTGGGGATTGAGCCTGAAACCAAGGTATGTGCCCTGACCGGGAATCGAACCGTGGCCTCCTGGTTCATAGGTCGATGCTCAACCACTGAGCCACGCCATTCGGTCCTGAATGTAATTTTGTCTCATTGCAGCCATTAGACTGAAGATGATTAGGAATCCACTGAAAAATATGAAAAAGAAACATAAACACATACATCTGATTTGCTTACTATTTAAGGGATTTTAAAAACCTCTGAATTTCATGCATGAACCATAGGTCCCTGATAATTTTTCAATTGCCTATTAACACATCTGTCTACACTAGTCTGCGCTCTGAGGTCAGGCTGCATGTGTTTTGTTCACTATTGTGTCCCAGTGACTAGCACAGCATTTGGCATATAATAAACCTTCAATAAAAATGTGTGAAATGACTAAATCAACTAAACTGAAATTAGAATACAAGGTTAGTGGTCCGAATAGAATGAACAAGCTCAAGTTAGTAAAGATAAGCTATTGTCATTAGAAGCCCATGACCAAATGGAGATAATATTTATGCTAAATCAAGAAAGTCTTTGGGGATCACCTGCCTCTTTTGTGTAAAGTCTAATGAACAACAAAAAGCCTGGACAAACGGACACTAGCTTTCAAGTCCGTGTGAGTGAACTGGTTTTATTTTATTTCCTCCCCCCCCCC